AGAACAAAGTTTTTTTTTTAACCACACCTTGAGGACAAGGTGTGTTTCGAGGGTGGGGTAGTGTTAGGAATGACCTTTAGGGGTATTTAGGGTTATTAATAGCAAACAGGGGTATGTTAGTAATTAGATATGAAGTTGTTAGGGAGATTTTTATAAATAAAATGAGGGGAAAGGGGGAGGGTAGGCAATTATTTAGTGGTTTAGATTTGAGGAGATAATGCTTGAGAAGGAGAGTTATTGGCTTCTTGAAGTGCTAAGATATTTTCTGTTTTGTCCCTCATTTTGGGGTGATTATTGAAATATATTGAAAATAGACCATTGGGTTCATATCAAAATCTTGTGGCTCTTTATAGGTTAATTTTTGATCATATTGTTTATTTTTTTTCCCGGGTATTCTTCAATGTCTTTTGGTTGGGCTTTGAGTGAATTGTAATTTTGGTTGCCCTATGTTCTCACACTAGAGTACTGTTCGTCTGTTAGAATGCTCATATTTCCTAAAACAAATCCCCATATTTATATATGCAGGTTAGGTTGTCAATCTTTGGAAGAGACTTCACAGTCACTTTGATTTCCCGGCGTTCTCGACATTTTGCAGGGACACGGTATAATTTTTGCTTGATCGTGTCATTTACACACATATATATTTTTGTTTTTTTTATTGAACAAGATACAAGTTTTCACTAATGTAATGAAAATGAACAAAATTGTTCAATTACAAACTCACAAAGGAGTGAAAGAACAATACGAAAGAGAACCAAAACATATAAAAGGAAATACAAGCGAGAAATGAACCGGGGAAGTTACAAAAGCCTCCTAATTGGAACAAATCTGATCGAACCCGAAATATATTGAAATATAAAAGGATATATGAACTATAATATAACCATGTATTAGAGGTACTTGGACCCTCCCCTCTTGAGGTATCACTCAAGCCTAAACCATATTCACTAATTGGATACCTTCATTCTTATGCCTTCACTCTATTTATAACAATCCTCCCTAACAACTTCCCTATCTAATTACTAAGGTACCCTCAATACCCTAATAATATCCCTAATTACCCCTAAGGTCATTCCTATCAAAATCATACTAGGAGATTAATTTGTAAATAAATCAGAGAGAGAACACCATTGAGGAGCTTTGAACTTAGCTAAGCTGTAGCTTTTGAGTAGAGATTTGCTTTTTACTTCAGGAACCCTTTGATTTCTCTCGAATCATAACTTCGATAGTAGAACCTTAATACCATTAATCCAAAGAAGACTTGCTTTGGAAGACAACACCGGGCCAAACAGAAGGTGAGAAGTGTTCTTGGGAACTTCTAATGTGAAGACCCAAGAAAAATTGAACAACTGAAATAAAAACCCAGCAGTAGAGCGCTGCATATGGGCAATGGAAGCATAGATGGACTTGGCTTTTGCCACTATCAACGCATAGAACACTAATAGATGGATGAATAGCCACGAAAGGAAGCTTCTTTTGGAGAACTTCTGCTGTATCCTGTCATTCGTAAGAATTCAAGCAAGAATGCTAACCTTTTTTGGGCTTTTTGATTTCCAAAGAGCTGCACAATAATCCTTTGGCCAAAAAAAACAAAAAAATGAGGAGCTGCAAGGTTCACATAAGAATTTTACCCAAAAAAGGATCTGATGGATCCAAATTCCAGCCCTCTTTCTTTTCTTTTTTTTTGAACCAGAAACGAACTTTTTATTGACGAATGAAAAGGAACATAAAAGGAAAAGGAACTTTTTATTTGAATTCTAGCTGCGGTCTAGTTCTTGGAGTTTGGTCTTCGCTCTTGGTGCTAAGGAAGGCTTTTTTCCCTCGTGCGGATGTTGGCTCTGGATTTAGTTTGGTTTTCCAAGCTCAGTAGTAAGCAATTTTTCTGAGTTCTGTTTTAGAATGTTTTTATCTTTTCGAGCTTGTATTGCTCTTTTGCTTTATTTTTTCGTTATTTTCTCTTCCCTCTCTTCTTTTTTCACCTCGTTTGGATTTGTATCTTAAACAATTCTCCTTTTCATATATCAATGAAAAGTTGTTTCTTGTTAAAAAAAAAAAGAACATAAAATGTTCAAGGGAAAAATACATTTTTGGTCCCTGAGATTTGGGGTAGGTGCCAATTTGGTTCCTGAAGTTTCCA